GGATTCTAATTGTATTTGGGCAGGTTCATATGCAAAAAAAGCATAACCATACTCAATTCATGACAATAAGTGAGATGATTGGGTGAAACTATTGTATTCACTTATGTACAATGATTGGCTTCAATACAATTTATTTGAGAATTAGAGTTGAACTAAAAAAATAAATTTGCATGTTTAAAAAATATATCAAAAGTTCTACGAAATAAGAGATGACAAGAGTATATTATTTTATCAAATGAGTATTAAAAATAGGAAAAGTAAATAAAATTTGATCTTGTGAATAATAAATAAAAAACTTAATTTAGAATGGAGAAAGTAATTTTTATTTTTGGTCTCTATAAATATCTGTTTAAGTCATTCTTAAAAAAAATTATTTTGAAAATGATCCTTAAATGTAATTAACACTTCTAATTAATTGAAATGCCACATTTATTTAATACTTGACATCCTACTATTGCACATTAATTACCACTGACACGATTTCAATGTCATACATTGAGTCTTTATTCATATTATATCTCTAATTCTTAATCTTTTTAGAAATCCTATATATATATGTAAAAGAGAGTTCAATTGTTGTAGTGTTGACATGTGGCATGCCACATGTGCATCCACATGTGCACTCACTAATGATGTGGATTTATGCATTTCAATTCATTGGTCCATTTTGATTTTTCTAAAAGATCTTTGAATGCATTTGCATAAAACTTTTTTCATTTTTTAATAATTCTATAAATATATATTTCATCATTGTAAAATATACTCCATATTATATATATAAATATATATAATTATAAAATATGATAGGTGTTGAATAAAATCAAATAATGAAAAATTTTTTACTAATATATTTAAATTAGTGTATACGTATATATAATTAATTATAATTTGTTTCAAAAATTTTATCTTATTACATTATTTATTCTATTCCTACAAATATTTTTTAACAAACTAAATAAAATAAAATTGCTTTCGTTGAAGGGTAACGACTGACAAGCAACATTATGACACATATACATTCTCTAATGATGTATCATTATGTAATTAATCCACTTTTTATTAAAATATTTTATTAATTTAAACTTTTTTTTATTAGTACTAAATTCAATGACCATTAATTTTGTAGAATTTTTTTATTTTTAAATAACATACCAATATATATTCAACCAATTTAAAATATATTTTGTCGCTATTAAAATACTAAAACAACTAAAATTATATTTCTACAATCTCAGAAATTTAGAATATATACGAGCCCGTGCGAAGCACGTGGTTAACACTAGTATAAGATAATAGAATTTGAAAATTTGGAGATGTAATTTAATGAATGACACAACTTTGGAAATGGGAATTATGTCAAGTTAACTAGAATTCCAAGACAAAGATATTGAATACGAAATAAAGTATGTTATCTTAACAAATTAGAAATCTTAATTGCATTTAGGATTCATTTTCAAAATAAATTTTTTTATAAGGATGAGTTTAACAAAAAAAAATTGCATGGACCAAACACAAAAGTTGCCTATTCTACAACGTCAAATAGCTCCAATGCCTCATGTGCTTAGAAAAATTGGCACCAATACTGATGGGTGAATTCCACCCAGAACCGGTCAAAGAAGACGCTCAAATACTCGACCGGTCAAAGTAGATTTTCCAGGATGGGAGACCTCAATCATCAATAGAAGAATACTTGGTTAACCAAAAAGTACATCGGATAGTGTACCGGTCAAACGACTTTATCGCCTAATCCACTCCCTGAGTTTCCATCGACTCAACCCTCCAGAACTACCCGGTATGTTTCCTAGGGTTAAAGGGTGTCGGCAGAGAAGAATCCAAAGAAGATTGGATTGTAGTGGCTAGTATCGCTGGAGGATCAATGGAGATGCTAAAGTAATCCGTCCAAGCCAATACGCGACAAGGGAGCAATCTCCCTCGCAAGATGACAAAGAAGCTAAAGGACGAAGGCCATCACCTCCCACCATCCAAGAACGTGCCTCAACGTGGGCAAGCGGCGGTTTGTCCCCTGCAGCTCAGTATATATACCTGTGTAACCCTCAGAATTGGGGATCCGAATTCCTTCTCTCTAAACTCCCTTGTAAAAACTCCCGTGTATTCTCCTATATTTATAATATCAATTGGGCTACAGGTGTTTCCACCTACAGTCCTCCCGGTCATTTGTGTGTTTTTACCTTTTTACTTCCCGAATCAAGTAAACAATCCTAGACTCGGTCTAGTATAGTTTACCCGGTTAGGTAATTTACACCATCAAATACCTTCTTTGTTTTCAAAATTTATTTCTAAAATTCTCGTCGTCTAAAAAAATTACACCTCTCCTCTGATCATTTTTCTGGTCATTTTCCGGCGAAGAGGAAGGAGCATTGGTGACTTATTTTCTCAAACCATAAAGGGCAACAGAACCCACTTCTCATTTTTCATTTATTTTTTTGGCTTTTTTTTTCCTTTTTTAACTCTTTTTTTCATCTTTTTTTCCTTTTATCATAATGATTTAAATCATAGTTTAAAAAAGTAGACCAACCGGTTCTAACTGGCCCGGCCTTTTAGACCTCTTGGCGTAGTAAACCTGTATAAACCGGTAAGAACCGGCCAGTTCATCCGGTCGATGATGTTTTTTTTTGCAAAAATTGGCCGAAACATTATTTCATCTCTAGCATTCAAACTTTAGACCTCTTGTATGTTATATCAAGAGCTCCACAACCTAAGCAAGACTATTTTTTGTTATATACTTGTTCCAAGTAGTATATACTCTGTAATTAAAAAAATAAATATGTTTTAAAAGATCTCTTTATTTCTTAAACTAGGATTTCTAACATTTAAAAATACAACTATTTCTAAAATGATGTGTCACGAAAAAATTCATTTGAGGTTTTTTGGATATTCGACAAAATATATAAAGAAAAATAAAACATCCTTATTTTATAAAACGTTTAATGTACTTCTCGATATGTAAATTTTATTTTAAATATATATTCACTAATAAAATAAATTAAAGTGATTATAACTTCAATAAAATATCAAAAAGTTTTATGATACAGACGAATGGAGTAATTTTAATTTTATACAAAATAAAAATTACACACACACACACACACATGTCTGTGTGTGTGTATTAAATATGTTTAAGCCACAGATTCGACAAGTGAACTAGTACTTTAACCGATTCGGTCACCAGTTCGGTTATTGAAACTGTGTTTTAAAAAATCTAAAATTATTTGTGTTTGAAATAAAAAAAGAAAAAAAATTAACATATACTCCATCTATCTCAAATTAAACATTTTCATTTTTTTCTAGAGTAACGAAGGGGGGAAACTCGAGGAGTAACGAAGGGGGGAAACTCGATGAAAACAAACTTTTCCTTCCATCCCCGGTTACTCTGGGGGACTTCGGAAATGAACTTCCTACCGGTACGGGCTTTGAAGAATACAAAACCTTCGCAGCCGGATCCCCCCGGTAGGACTTCAAAGCAAAAGAGAAAAAGACGCAAAGAGGGGAAGATTTTCAAATGAGTACAGATATTTACAAAGGAATGGAGATACCGGTGGACGTTAGGTGTTATTTGACCGGGCAAAATCCTAAACGCATGGCAGACTTCGGTAAGGAGGGGGCAAAGGGGAAAAACTATGCCCGCATCCAGTGATATGGTGTGGAGTCCTATCCTATCCTCCCGGTGGGGTTTAACAATGTTGGGCCAGTTGGGTTCATACAGGAGGGTATACCCATCCGGGAGCCTCCTACGAATTTTATTCAGAGCGATTTTGGATACACGGGAAGGGATGTCAAGGACGTAGAAAGTGGGAAGCAGAAAGTAACCGGTAGCATGAAGCCGCTCCTCCCATGCATCCCGGGTTTCGTTTTCAGGGTCTTAGGGACCCGGTTCGTCATCGACCGGGTCATCCCTCCCCACGAAAGTTTCACCGGGCATCTGGTTAACAGGATGCGGGTCGGGAATAGAGGAGTTGGGAACCTGACCGGGCGTGGAGTCAAGAGAAGAAGACCCGGTCGAGGAGGAGGAGTTGGAGTCCTCAGAGGAGCGGTCCTCTGAGGACGAAATCCTATCGCTAAAAGAAGACATGACCGGGAAAGAAAGTAGAGGAGGAAGGGGAAACTTACTTGACTCGAAGGGCTGGATAGCGAAAGAGAAGGAACTTGACCGGTGAAAGCTCTGGAAGGCGAAGTGCGAAAAGTGAGAAGAGAAGGGGGTTGGAGGCCTTTATATAGGAAGAGGAGGGCTGAAAGAAGCGACGTGGCCTCTTCACGTTGCGCCGCGTCAGGCGGAGCAATGATGACCCAGTGGTAGGCGAAACGACGGGTCTGCAGCCGACTGATTGCAACGGTTGATGCGCGACATGTGGCAAAAGTCAGAGTTTGAAATTCAAATATCAAAAATTTTAGGCGGGAAGAGCCAAAATTTCAAAATTGGAGTCCTATTTCAGACTTTTTACTTCCCGCTCATGACAAATTGCATGACCGAGAAGTGGAGGGCTTATTGATGGGTGTATTCCACCCACGACTGGTCAAAGGAGAAGACCAATTAGTTAACCGGTCAATCTCGAAAGTTTTGGAAGGGAGACTTAAATCGTCAGCAAAACGATATATCATCGGCCAAAAGATGACCGATATACTTCATGAAAAAGTATACCGGTCAAACTACGTTGTCATCCTATTTATTCCAGACTTCGATGAATTCATCACTCGGAGATTACACGGTGTAGTTTCTAGGGTTGAAAAGTGTCGGCAGAAGAGAATCTACGAGGGCTTGGCGTGTAGCGACCCGTGTCAGTAGAGGACAACTGGAGATGTTGAAGAATCCATCCAAGGCACTACTCGACAAAGGGAATAATCCCCCTCACAAGGCGACAAGGCAGCTCAAGGACGAAACCAGTCACCTCGCACCACATCAGCATCGTGCCCCCACGTGGGCGCACGTGGTCCTGTCCCCCCTAGCCTAGTATAAATACTCATGTAAACCTCAGAAAGAGGGATCCGAAGGCACTCTCTCTAAACTCCCTTGTAAAAGCACCCGTGCATTCTCCGTTATAATACAAACTGGGCTACAGGTGTTCCACCTAAAATCCTACCGGTCAATCTGCGTGTTTTTTACCTTTCTTACTTTACCAAATCAAGCAAACTATTCTAGACCCGGTCTAGTGTAGTTTGACCGGTCAAGTAATTTACACCATCATTTTTGGCGCCACCCGTGGGACCGTTAAGGTTTCTTCTCCTAAACACAAACCTACCCACTAAAACACCACTCGAAATGTCTTCCAGCCAACAAATTAACGCTACTTCCGCTCAGGTGCAAGCCACCAATGAGGGTACTAGCATCCCTGTGGCTGCCACCTTACCGGTCATTTCAGCCCCGGTGTTACCTTTGGGTCTGAGTTCTGTCCCAACGCCTAGCGTAATCAGCCCATTGATGACCCCCGTCCCTTCCGCTGGACCGAGGGTCACGTTCCCACCAAACATGACTCAGTTCATGAATGACCCAGCCAACCTACAAGCCATCCAGGGCTTTGGCCAGGTCATGGCCATGTGCCAACAGAATGGGGGATGCCTTTTCTCCCTGGTATGTTCCCGTTCGCTCTTCCAGGCGCGGGAACCATGCCCCTACAAGCTCCGATGGCGGTGACGTCGTTCCAGACGCCGATGCCGCAGCCATCACCTTTCCAGCCCCAGCTGGTCAGCACCATGGCCCCTGTCAACTTGACCGGCGCACTTAACGCTGTAGGGCCATCGCGTCCCCCGCAAGGTACGAATCCGCAAATGACCCCTGATGGTCATTGCGTCTCAATTGAGAGTGATGACGGCGAGTGGGACATTCCAAGGGCCCACAAGAAGAAGAAAGGAAAAAACATCCGGCCAGCGACCTCCCGAAACTCCGCCTTCGAAAGGCTGGGGGATAGGGAGGAAGGCCAGAGGAAGTCAGCCAAGCAAAGGCTGGGGCAGAGCGTTGCCCATGTGAGCGCGTTCGCCCGGCTAGGCGAGGTGCGGGAAGCCGAGCCTGCCCGCACCCGGCGCTCCCGGTCTATCCGGCAGGAGCCAGCGAGGACGAGGGCCTCTCGTCAGGAAGAGGAAGCAGAGAGCCAGCCCAGGTTACCGGTGGCGAACCGGTTGACCATCCCAAATGACCGGGTCCAGCAGATGGAGGCAAAACTAGAGAGGCTGGAGAAAAAGGTCGGAGAGAAGAATGACCGGGACAAACCCCTGGCAGGGTCCCCGTTCACCACAAGGGTCCATCTGACACCTTTCCCGCGAAAGGTCAAAATTGACGCCCCTAGGTTCACCGGGAAGGAAGATCCGGAAATCCATCTGGATTCCTTCAACCAGAGTGCGACCATGAACGGTTGCACCGATGAAGAAAAGTGCCTTCTTTTCTTCCAGACCTTGCGGAACCGAGCCACTGAATGGTTCAATAAGCTTAGCCCGGGAAGCATTGATTCGTTCAGTGATTTGGCCTCAAAATTCAAGGCCAAGTTCCAGGAGAATTGTACTAAGAGGAAGAAATTCACCTATCTTAGTACAGCTGGGCAGAGGGAATCTGAGAACCTTACTCAGTTCCTTACCCGGTGGAAGGAATGGGTAGACAAGGTGGAAGAAATGGATGACAAGACCGTCTTATCCCTCCTCTTGAATGGCTTGCGTGCCGGGGAACTATACAAAGAGTTCTGCCGGAAACCCCCAGTCACGTACCAAGAGGCCTACCACACTGCATGGGAGTTTGCTGAGGCTGAAACCCAGCTCCGAGCAAAGAGAGAAGCTGAGCATGGTCACAAGCCCAAGCCGGTGCAAGTCAAGAAGGAGGAAGTCCCGGGACCTAGCTGACCAAGGCACCACTATGACCCGGTTGTCCGTGTGGTCAATACGGAGGAATGCCAAGAAATCCGGAAAGCACCAGTCATTCTTCCGGAAAACCCTACCGGTCAAACAGGGCGGCAGTGGTCGGGCACCTATTGTTCGTACCACAGGTCGGATTCCCATAACACCTCCGAATGCAAAAGTGTTAAGGGGGTCATCCGGTAGATGATCGACAGTGGAGAGCTGGGCAAAGATTACTTGCAGAAAGTCCAGGAGAAGAGTCATCAATGGGTTAGGCCGACTGCCCCAGAAGATGACCGGGACAACGACCGGCGGAGGAATAACCGGCCAAGGGAGCGGCAACCTGCTCCCGAAAAAGAGCACATCGGCATGATCTTCGGCGGACCTGAGGGTGGTGATTCAGCCGCGCAGCGGAAGAACTGGGTCCGGAGCATTTACGTTGGTGAGGTAAGTGCTGAACCGCCCAAGCGTAAGCATACTAGAAGGGAGCCGATCGTCTTTACTGACCGAGATCTTCCTCCTACCGGTGAAGATCACAATGATCCATTGGTCATCACCATGGACATTAATGGGGTGGATGTCGCCCGGGTACTTGTTGACACCGGGAGCAGTGTCAACATCTTGTACTTGGAGACTTTCCAAAAACTCAGGTTGTGTCGGACATAACTTGAACCCCTCAAAACCCCTCTCTCAGGCTTCACGGGAGACACCGTTGAAGCTGAAGGATCCATAGTTCTACTGGTCGAACTAGGATCAGGTGAAAAGACCGTGTGGAAGAAGATGCGGTTCATAGTTGTGGACATCAAATGCGTCCACAACGCAATTCTTGGAAGGCCAGGCATCAATGGAGTCGGGGCGGTGATTTCCATGCCTCATCTATGCATGAAGTTCCACACTCCAGGTGGTGTGGATGAGGTGAAGGGCGACCAGAAGAGCGCCCGGGAATGCTATGCCCAGGCAGTCAAGAAGATGACCAAGGGGGTCAATGTCATCTCCCAAGAAATCACAAAGGGAGAGATCCGGGAGAAATTGGAGCCCGAGGCCAAGACGGTGGAAATCAAACTTCACCCGGGTGATTCTTCGAGGATGGTCAGAGTTGGAGCAAATCTCCCCAAGGATCTCAAGGTAGAGATTACACGGGTCCTCCAAGAATACGCGGGCATATTCGCATGGAGCGTGGCGGATATGCCCGGGATAGATCTCTCTGTTATCTGCCACCGGTTGGCCGTGAGGGAGGGAAGTCGACCGGTACGACAGAAGAAGCGGTACCTGGCCAGTGACCGGCGAGACTTCGTCAAGAAGGAAGTGAAGGACCTCCTCAGTGTTGGTCACATCCGGGAAGTCAAATACCCAGATTGGCTAGCCAACGTTGTCCTTGCTCCCAAGGGCGACACGTGGAGAATGTGTGTGGATTATACGGACTTGAACAAAGCTTGTCCGATGGACTCATATCCCCTTCCCAGTCTAGATTAAATGGTGGACGAAACTGCGGGGTGCAAACTCCTAAGTTTCATGGATGCCTTCAAGGGTTACCACCAAATCTACATGGCCAAGGAAGATGAAGAGAAGACATCATTCCTCACACCCGAAGGAACCTACTGCTACCGGGTAATGGCGTTTGGCTTGAAGAACTCGGGGGCGACCTACCTGGTGAACAAACTCTTCAAGCCACTGTTGGGAAAGACCATGGAAGCATACGTCGACGACATGCTGATCAAAAGCCAGGTATCTCTCAACCATCCGGCTGATATGCGAGCCACGTTCGATATCATGGCAAAATACAACCTCCGGCTAAATCCTAAGAAATGCGTCTTCGCGGTTCGTACCGGGAAGTTCTTGGGATTCATGGTGACCAAGAGAGGGATAGAGCCCAACCCAGAGAAAATCCGGGCCATCACTGAAATGCGAGCCCCTACTTCCGTTAGGGATGTTCAAAAGTTGACCGGTCGTTTAGCGGCCCTCAGCCGGTTCCTTTCCCGGTCAGCTGAGAGATCCCTGCCCTTCTTCAAAGTTCTGAAGAAGGCCAACACATTTGCATGGGACGAAGAATGCCAGAGGGCACTTGAGGAGCTGAAAGAGTACCTAGCGTCGGATATTGTATTGTCTAAACCCGAACCGGGTGAAACTCTGTATCTGTACCTGGGAATTTCCCCAAATGCTGTAAGCTTCATTTTAATAAGAGATGATGGGGCACAAAATCCCATTTATTATGTGAGCAAAGCATTAAACGGAGCTGAGAGTAGATATACGGTGATGGAAAAGACAGCCTATGCGCTTTTCATCTCCGCAAAAAAGTTAACATCCTACTTCCAAGCTCACCCGGTAGAAGTCTTGACTGACCAACTGCTGGGTGCAGTGTTGCGAAATTCAACATCTTCCGGGAGGATGGTGAAGTGGGCGATGATGTTAACTCAATTCCACATTGAGTACCGACCAAGGTCGGCAATTAAGGGACAGGCCCTTGCTGACTTCCTAGTAGAAATGATTGGTCTAACTCCAGACTTACCGGTCAACAAGCCCACTGAGCAATAGTGGGAGATGGAAGTTGACGGGGCATCCAGTCGTAGAGGATATGGGGGTGGTATCGTGTTCACCACCCCAGAAGGGTTCAAGATCTACCATGCAATCGTCTTCAACTTCAAGCTGACGAACAATGAGGCAGAGTATGAAGCTCTGGCTGGAGGGCTCAGGCTTGCCCAAGCCCTGAAAATCAGCCGGGTCAGTATCAAATTAGACTCTAGCATGATTGTTGGGCAAGTAACCGGAAACATGGAAGCAAGGGAAGGACGCATGGCACAGTACAAGGACCTTGTACTTGCCCTGTTAAAAGGCTTCGAAGAGTTCAAGATCGCCCAAATTCCCCGGGCAGAGAATGCGGATGCAGACCTTCTCTCCAAGTTGACACAGTATGCTCCCGAGCATGTTTCAAAACTTGCCCGGGTAGAGATCCTTGACCGTGCAAGCATCGAAAAATTGGAAGTTGCCGCTATAACGGCCGGAAGCCAATCTGACCGGTCAAGCTTGGTCGGGGCGGACGACCATTGGATGTATGATCTGATGGAATATTTGATGAATGGGAGCTTGCCAGAACAAGATGACCGGGCAAGAAAAGTAAAGCTCAGGGCACCCCAATTCCAGGTTCTTGATGGAAAGCTGTATAAAAGGGCATTTGGGGGGCCACTCCTGAGATGTCTAACCAGCCGAGAGGCTGAGCGAGTCATAGCGGAGGTCCACGAAGGCGTATGCGCGGCGCATCAAATGTCCCGTACGCTTTCCCAGTGCATCATCCTATTGGGGTATTACTGGCCAACAATCGTCCAGGATTGTGAGAGGTACGTTCAGAAATGCAGAACGTGCCAAGTATTCTACAAGTATCCCGGTAGACTGGCGACCTACTACCACCCCGTATCGAATGTCATCCCATTCGCTAGATTCGGAGTTGATATCATTGGAGCCTTTCCAATCGCCCATGGAGGGAAGAAGTTCGTAATCGTAGCCATCGATTACTTCACCAAATGAATCGAGGCCGAAGCGTTGGCCAACATTACCACGCAACAATGCAAGAAATTCATTTGGAAGAACATCATCACGAGGTTTGGAGCACCCATGAACCTCATCACCGACAACGGTCCACAATTCCGAAATCCGAGGTTCACCGAATACTTGGAGGGCTTCGGAATCAAGCACAATCGCTCCTCGGTAGCGTACCCCCAAGGGAATGGCCAAGTCAAAAACGCCAACCGAACAATTGTGGATGGTCTAAAGAAACGGCTGGGAGAAGCAGGAAACAAGTGGCTGGAAGAGCTCCCGCACATCGTATGGGCATTCCGAGTAACACCCAGAAGGGCTCACGGGGAAACTCAATTATCTCTAACCTATGGGTGTGAAGCAAGGCTGCCCATCGAAGCTGAATTCCCAACGTTCTGGGAATCAAATTATCAACCCCAACAAAATGAAGAAGACCACTTGGCCGAGCTCAACTTGGTCGAAGAACGAAGAATGGCCTTGGAAGTTAAAATGAGTACATACCAACAAGTTGTGAAGAAGTACCATGACAACAAGGTTGGGCCGCGGTACTTCCAAGTTGGGGATGAAGTCCTACGAAGAAGAGAAGAAAGTAGACCCGACGATGGAGGAAAGCTGGCGAAAAACTGGGACGGCCCATACAGGGTTAGAGCCATCATTCGACCAGGAACGTATCGGTTAGAAACTTTAGATGGTGTACCGGTAGAAAGAACTTGGAATTCCCACCATCTTCGCAAGTTCTACAAATGATTGTAATACTAGGCGAGGCCTAACCACATTATCAATCAAAGTGATGTTCAATACTCTACTTGGTAGCGACAGAATTGATAAGTCGAACCTATCCTAGAAGGGCTTCCTGGGTGGATCGAATCCACTTGGATAAGCCAACTGAGACACAGGCCCGGACCTGGCACGCTGGTTACTACACTGGTCTTGCTCAGTATAATAGAAAAAATATTAAAACCCGGAAGAGAGGCCCGGAAGAGGGTATGCCTGCAAGAGGGCTGGACCTGGAAGAAGGTTCGAACCGTACTTACACAGGCCCATGAGGTTTGACTGGTGTCGGGAAATCAGCCGGCGCCGTCAAATTGATTGGGGCTAAAAGATGCCCATTAAAAGAAATAGAAGGGGATCGTCCACTGTGGCGCATCCTGTTTCCCCCTTCTCAGGGAAGACTTGAACGGGAGGGTGAGCTAAGGCCTTCCCGGGATGGTAGAAATCAAAGGGCCATTAAAAGACTTAATCACCCGGAAGAGGGGGCCCTGGAAGAAGGGTGCATTTGAACCTTGGAGAGGGTTCGAAACCATTCGACATGGTTAAATCTCCAGTATTCTTACCGGTTAAGGATACTTCAAGAATTACTAGGTTACAGGTGTTTCCATCTACAACCTACCGGTCAAGTAAAAAAAAAAGAATACCCCGGTTGGGTATGGGCACAGCAGAACTTCGAAAGTTCTACANNNGTGGCGCATCCTGTTTCCCCCTTCTCAGGGAAGACTTGAACGGGAGGGTGAGCTAAGGCCTTCCCGGGATGGTAGAAATCAAAGGGCCATTAAAAGACTTAATCACCCGGAAGAGGGGGCCCTGGAAGAAGGGTGCATTTGAACCTTGGAGAGGGTTCGAAACCATTCGACATGGTTAAATCTCCAGTATTCTTACCGGTTAAGGATACTTCAAGAATTACTAGGTTACAGGTGTTTCCATCTACAACCTACCGGTCAAGTAAAAAAAAAAGAATACCCCGGTTGGGTATGGGCACAGCAGAACTTCGAAAGTTCTACATCCATCGGAAGGCAAGGCAGTTGACCGGTCAAACCATGGAGTGGGAATTCACCGGTCAAATTAAACTTTATCAAAGAATTTGTGAAGCTATCCAAAAAGCCAAAGTAAAGTTCAGCTGGTTCACTCTAGTTCAACCAGGTTGGACTTAGCGTATTCAAAAACAAGCCAAGAAAGCGAAAATCAAGGTTTGACCGGCCAAAGTTACTCGAGCTAATCCTTCAGATGAAGTGATCAAAGAGAACTTTGAAGTTCCACCGGTCGAAAACAATTGAGAAGTGGCCTGGTTTATGTACCGGTCAGAATTTCTATGATAAGTATTCTAAGAAGCAAGAGCAAAGTATAAATCAACAAACAAGCAGATATGGAAGATTAACCGGGTAGGAAAACAAACATGGCATTTAAGGCAGGAAATGTAAAATGTTTACAAGTACGCCGGGCATACCCGGAGAAATTTCTGCTCAATGTTTTACAAAAACAACCGGGCGCAGCCGGGGAGATCCTAATCTAGGGGGAAGGGGGGAGTTGGCTCTTCTTCCGGGATTGGAGCCAGGCCATAGGATGCAGCGCTGAAGTTTGGATCTCTTCTGAGCAGTACACGGTGAGAGGCGATCCTGTCCTTCTTTTGACCGCTCTTGAATCCGAAGGATCCAATCGCGGTAATCATCTTCTTTCCTTCAGGCTCCCGGTACAGAAGCCTGAAGGACTCCATCGTCGTCTCTGGAGTTGCCGTCATCACCCGGGCAGCTTCAGCCTTATTCTATTCCACCCAGGCAACTGCGCGCCCGGGGAAGGTTTCTTCCTTCTCCGCTACTTCCCTGTTGGCTTCAGAGACTTCATCCAGGAGCCGGCCATTCTCCTTCTTCAGTTGGGAGATCTCGGTCTCCATTGCCCCGGCCAGCCCAGACAATCGGATCAGCTCATCAGCCTGGCTCCTCAGGATGAGTGCCATCTCTTCTTTCTCCTTCTTTAGCCAGTCGACTTCAGAAGGGGAACTCATCCCCAACCGGTCCACTGTGTGCGGCCCAATCTCCCCCGCCTGCACAAAAACGAAACAGACCGGTAATTTTCTCGATAGAGGAAGAAGAAAATAAAGACCGGGATAGCGGCAGGACTTACCTCCTTCAGCCTCAGCCCCAGGTTGATGAAGGCCTCTTCGATGGTTTGACCGGCCGGCTCAGAATCCGGCCTTGCCCTCTTCTTAGCATAAGAAGGGTGCGTGGTGGCGACCTTCTTCGTTCGCCGACCGGTCTTCTCCTTCTCCTTCCCCTTAGACCAGTTGTCTTGGGGCTCGTCTTCATCAAGGATTTCCACGGTCTCTGGATTGACCGGGAAGGTCCTGGCAGTGTTGGCTTGGGAGCCCCCGGTCTCCCCCGCTGGTTGGTCGTCGGGGATGGCGAACTCCTCGAACTCCATATCTGCAAGAGTAGCTAAAACCGTTAAGTACAAACAATGGTACCAGTCAAAGCGCAAATCACAAGGAATGAAAAGTACCTGCGTGGTTATGGCCCTCAGCCTTTGCAGTGTTGCCCGGGGAGGGTACCCCGCGCCCCGCTGCTTCATGGGCCTGCGAGGTACCCTCACCACCCGACTCCACCCTCCAAACCCAGCTGCCATAATGAAAGATCCTCCCAGAGAAAGGATCCCCGCGTATAAGGACTTCAAGATTCGCTTCCAAGTCTGGGGAGGAAGCCGGTGCAGCATACTCTTGGTCGAGGAGATGGTCGTTCCATTTCAGACCGGCCAGAGGAGTAACGAAGGGGGGAAACTTGATGAAAACAAACTTTTCCTTCCATCCCCGGTTACTCTGGGGGACTTTGGAAATGAACTTCCTACCGGTACGGGCTTTGAAGAATACAAAACCTTCGCAGCCGGATCCCCCCCGGTAGGACTTCAAAGCAAAAGAGAAAAAGACGCAAAGAGGGGAAGATTTTCAAATGAGTACAGATATTTACAAAGGAATGGAGATACCGGTGGGCATTAGGTGTTATTTGACCGGGCAAAATCCTAAACGCATGGCAGACTTCGGTAAGGAGGGGGCGAAGGGGAAAAACTATGCCCGCATCCAGTGATATGGTGTGGAATCCTATCCTATCCTCCCAGTGGGGTTCAACAATGTTGGGCTAGTTGGGTTCATACAGGAGGGTATACCCATCCGGGAGCCTCCTACGAATTTTATTCAGAGCGATTTTGGATACACGGGAAGGGATGTCAAGGACGTAGAAAGTGGGAAGCGGAAAGTAACCGGCAGCATGAAGCCGCTCCTCCCATGCATCCCGGGTTTCGTTTTCAGGGTCGTAGGGACCCGGTTCGTCATCGACCGGGTCATCCCTCCCCACGAAAGTTTCACCGGGCATCTGGTTAACAGGATGCGGGTCGGGAATAGAGGAGTTGGGAACCTGACCGGGCGTAGAGTCAAGAGAAGAAGACCCGGTCGAGGAGGAGGAGTTGGAGTCCTCAGAGGAGCGGTCCTCTTAGGACGAAATCCTATCGCTAAAAGAAGACATGACCGGGAAAGAAAGTAGAGGAGGAAGGGGAAACTTACTTGACTCGGAGGGCTGGATAGCGAAAGAGAAGGAACTTGACCGGTGAAAGCTCTGGAAGGCGAAGTGCGAAAAGTGAGAAGAGAAGGGGGTTGGAGGCCTTTATATAGGAAGAGGAGGGCTGAAACGAGCGACGTGGCCTCTTCAGGTTGCGCCGCGTCAGGCGGCGCAATGATGACCCAGTGGCAGGCGAAACGACGGGTCTGCAGCCGACTGATTGCAGCGGTTGATGCGCGACACGTGGCAAAAATCAGAGTTTGAAATTCAAATATCAAAAATTTTAGGCGGGAAGAGCCAAAATTTCAAAATTGGAGTCCTATTTCAGACTTTTTACTTCCCGCTCATGACAAATTGCATGACCGAGAAGTGGAGGGCTTATTGATGGGTGTATTCCACCCACGACCGGTCAAAGGAGAAGACCAATTAGTTGACCGGTCAATCTCGAAAATTTTGGAAGGGAGACTTAAATCGTCAGCAAAACGATATATCATCGGCCAAAAGATGACCGGTATACTTCATGAAAAAGTATGCCGGTCAAACTACGTTGTCATCCTATTTATTCCAGACTTCGATGAATTCATCCCTCGGAGATTACCCGGTGTAGTTTCTAGGGTTGAAAAGTTTCGGCAGAAGAGAATCTACGAGGGCTTGGCGTGTAGCGACCCGTGTCAGTAGAGGACAACTAGAGATGTTGAAGAATCCATCCAAGGCACTACTCGACAAAGGGAATAATCCCCCTCACAAGGCGACAAGGCAGCTCAAGGACGAAACCAGTCACCTCGCACCATATCAGCATCGTGCCCCCACGTGGGCGCACGTGGTCCTGTCCCCCTAGCCTAGTATAAATACTCATATAAACCTCAGAAAGAGGGATCCGAAGGCACTCTCTCTAAACTCCCTTGTAAAAGCACCCGTGCATTCTCCGTTATAATACAAACTGGGCTACAGGTGTTCCACCTAAAGTCCTACCGCTTACCTTTCTTACTTTACCAAATCAAGCAAACTATTCTAGACCCGGTCTAGTGTAGTTTGACCGGTCAAGTAATTTACACCATCAATAAAAATCAAATTTAAAAAGAAATTAAAAAACCCTTCATAGTCAAAAGAAAAATATAGAGAAAAATATAGAAGTTATTAAAAAATAAATGAAAAATGAGTAATGAGCACGAGTGCCCCTATATTTGGTAAATAGACACCAATACTACAGAGATATTAGAAATAATTTTAAAAAGTGAGGTATCAGTGTGTGTTTTCCAAAATGACAGAGGGTGCTAGAGCAATTTGACCCTTTTTACAAGAACTAAAAACATATTTAATCCTTATTTTAATCCCTATGTTTGGTGGATTAAAATTTTGAAAAGTTTGAGCTTGGCTTATTCAGCGGGTAAATTTCACAAATGGTACCTGAACTTTAGCTGGAATTTCGAAGGGGTACCTGAAATTCAAATCCTTTCACAAAAATCCCTGAAGTTACACAATCCTTTCACTAATGAGCCATTAGCCCGTTTCTAGGTTAACTTCCGGTCATTAGGGCCAAATTTGAATTTTATATATTTTAAAATTTTCAATTTGACCCCATTTCTTCTTTTCTTTTCTTCCACGCCACGCCGCCGCCGCCCGCCGGTCAAAGTCGCCGGAAAATGAACTTTTTCCGATTCCGGCGGGACCAATGTCATTCTCTTCGTCTTGAGACGAGGATCAATAATATCCAAACCATTTTGTCTAATTTGGCCTGTAACTTCTCGAATCTGAATTTTTCTACTTGAAAAAACCCTAAAATTCGAAATTGGATCCAAAATTGGGGGTTTTGCAAATCTTCATCAAATCTTGCAATTGAGGGGTCCTTGGAGGTCGCCCGGATGCCACGACCGCATTGGAGTTGGTGCCCGCCGTCGTGGCATCCGGGCGACCTCCAAGGAC